ACCTTTTAGGTTTCATTCTGGGCTCTTTTAAGGTACTGCTTGCACCAAAATGCCTTCAGTTTCCTCCCTTCCACCCCTGTCTTCTGGCCTCTCATTTCCAGGACTCTCCCTGCCTGCTAGGGGGGCAAGACCCGTGAGTCTCTCCCCTGTTGATTCCTCGGCTCCGAGCACGTGGCACAAGTCCCATACATAATTGCACAGATCATAGATCGTGGCGAGAGTCCAGAGGCTTGAGGAATGGGCAGACACCAGCTGGAGGTTAGGGTGAGGGTGTCAGACAGGATTTAGGAGGTACTGTCCCTGGTGCTGGGGAGGTCCTGGTTTAGCATAGAGGTAAGTTGCGGTCAGATCCACGGCTGGGGCTTCTGGAGGCTTGCCAGGACAGCCCTGTTGTAGGTACTCCTTCCACCCTCCTTCCTCCTAACCTCCTCAGGCCAGCTCTGGGGTCTCGGCAGGTGATCCGCAACATGAGCTCAGAGTTCTACGCGTCTCAGCTTCGGGCCCGGATCTCTGATGGAACCACTCATCCAACCGAGTACTACGAGCCCGAATTCTACATTCCTGACGATGGCGGCACTGCTCACCTGTCCGTGGTTTCGGAGGATGGCAGCGCCGTGTCTGCCACCAGCACCATCAATCTCTAGTAGGGGCTGTGCGGCTGCTGGGCAGTACTGGGACACTGGCAGGGGTTGGGGCTATCTTTATTTCCTATCAGGGCCTCCCTCTTTCATGTTGGGAAACAGAGGCTCCCCCTTGATAGCATGCCTGGGGTTGGCCTCCTAGGGAATACTCTTGGCCTGGTGTGGGTGGGCACCAGGTGGGAAATGGCTGGGTTGTATGTCTATTGTTATCTGATCTGGCCCTATCTTCAGTTTTGGCTCCAAGATCCTTTCTCAGGTCAGCGGTATCCTGTTTAATGATGAGATGGATGACTTCAGCTCACCCCAATTCATCAACCAGTTCGGGGTGTCCCCCTCACCAGCCAACTTCATCAAGCCAGGTGCAGGGTGGGAATCCTGGGATTAAAAACTTGAGTTGGGAGGGGGCTGGTGCCCTGACTGACAACCGACCAGCCTCTCCGTCTCCCCGTATGGACCACAGGGAAGCAGCCACTTTCATCCATGTGTCCGTCAATCATCGTGGATAAGGATGGCAAGGTGCAGATGGTGGTGGGCGCCTCAGGAGGCACACAGATCACTACATCCACGGCACTGGTATATGTCTTGGGCCTAACCTTTCCTGTCCCCCTCTTTCCCTGCCCTTGTTCCGGGGCTGTGCTGACCTCTTGGCTGCCCTCTCCCTGCAGGCCATCATCAACAACCTGTGGTTTGGCTATGATGTGAAGAGAGCCGTAGAGGAGCCCCGGCTGCACAACCAGCTTTTGCCCAACACCACAACAACAGAGAAAGACATTGATCAGGTAGGCCGACCATGGCAATAGAGATGAACATTGGTCAGGTGGGCCAAGAGCTGAGGAAAGAGAATCATGGTGTGGGATTAGAAGACATCCTTGACTGGGGACTTGGCCTCTTCTGAGTCACCAGAGCAGAGTGGCTACTATCCCCTGTCCAAGGCATATGGTCCCCAGGCCCTCAGCATGGGTCATCTTGAGCCCTTGCTCAGTGACAGCCCAACAGCTTGTCCCAGGAGACCTTACTGTAGTGATATTTTATTTGTGTTTTAATAAATAAAGCCTGCCTGAAGTTCAGAGAGTTAAACAGCTCCACTGGTCAGCCTCACAGACCAGGCAGTGGTGGCACACAACTTTAATCTCAGTAGCCACACTAGTTAGCCATAGAAGTCAGGTGGTAGCAGTGCACACCTTTAATCCTAGCCCTAGAGAAGAATATTAGACAGAGGAGACAGCTCTCAGTCTCATTCTGAGATTCCTGGAGCCAAGGATCACCATTTTGGACTGAGGTAGAGGTAATTGTGCTGCACCTTAGAAGCCCAGGGGCCTCTCTCTAGTTCTTCCTGGTTACTTGACCGGAAGTAGCACTAACTGGGCTTGTGAGGCCCATGACCACACAGGTCTAGTTTCGGCCACACCCATGGCCTTGTTGAGACTTCTCTTTGTCCTCTCACCCCCAGGTGGTGACTGAAGGCCTGAAGACTCGGAACCACTACATGGAGGTCACGCCCACCTTCATTGCCGTGGTCCAGGCCGTCGTCCGAACAGCCAATGGTTGGGCAGCTGCCTCGGACTCCAGGAAGGGCGGGGAGCCAGCTGGCTACTGAGAGCTTAGAAGAGACAAGACGTACCTGCAATCCAGAGACGAGATATTGATCAGGAACAAGAGTTGGACTTTGGAAGACCTGCTGCCCCTGAGTGAGACAGCAGCACAATAAATGTGGCCGACTGCCAAGCTCCGGGAAGTCTTGCTGGTTGGACTTTCCGTATCTTGGCCTTTAGTGTCTTGTTATGAAATGGAGACATCTGGCTGGGAGAATGATTAGGCAGAATCCTAAGACCTACTACCTCAACCTTTAACCTTTAACCCAGTGTGTTTGGGAGTTGGGAATCCTTATCCTAAATTGTCCTAGGCAGTAACATTTCCCAGTAGCAGCCACTAGAGGGCGCCCCGACCATTCCGTTAACTGGGATAAAGCACCCCCCCTCCCCCCCTTAGCTGCGTGGAAACCTTGAGACTGCTTCACATCCAGGGTAGGTGTGGGCTCTCGTTGCCCAACACTTTCGGGGGTAAAACCGAAAGGGAGCAGAAATAAGGCAGCTTGGCCAGGGCCATAGCTGAGGTCACTTCCCGAGCACAGACCCAGAGTGAAACCCACGCTTGTCTTGCAAGAGGCCCAGTTCTCAAGGAACAGCAGGTCAGCAAGTTATCAGAAACTCACAGATCCATGAGGAAAACACAGCTCAAAGTGGGTGGGTCCAGAGGAGCGCAGTTAGGCATGGTGTCCCTCCTTGTCTTAGTCAGGGCTACTATTGCTGTGATGAACCAGAGAACCAAAGCAACTTAGGGAGGGACGGGTTTATTTGGCTTGCACTTCCACACCGCAGTTCACCATCAAAGGAGGTCAGGACAAGAACTCAAGCAGGGCAGGAACCTGGAGGGGAGCTGCTTATTGCTCCTCCTGGCTTGCTCGGCCTGCTTTCTTACAGACTCCAGGACCCTCTGCACCAGGATGTTCCCACCTGCAAGGGGCTGGGCCCCCTGCGTCAATCCACTAATTAGGATAATGGCCTGCAGGCTTGCCTGCAGCCTGATCTTACGGAGTCGGTTTCTCAGTTGAGGCTCCCTCTCTGAAGACTCTAGCTTGTGTCAAGTTGACGGAAAACTAGCCAGCATGTGCCCAAAGGGCAACCCCTTCCGATGTCCCTAGGTCTGTAGAACTCATGGCCGTGAACACTAGGTCAGGAGACCTCGAAGACGTGTAGAGAAGTGGGCCATTGGGGCACTCACAGCTGAGGAGCTAAATATTGCCCCTAGAAGTGAGCACAAGTTGGGGTTCCTGAGGGAAGGGGCCCAGTGGCTGGAGGAGGGGCCCGGGAGCTTCCAACCTGCCCACAGGAAAGCAGGAATTTGTCCTGTAGTTATGCTCCATGTCTGGGCCCTAGGAGTCTCCGTCTCTGGGGTTCCCTGGGGAAGACAGAAGCTGGGCCAGAAGGGGTGGCAGTCAGTCCTCCGTCCGTGTTTGCAGGGGAGAAGGCAGGCTTCTTAGGCCAGCATGTTGAGGTGTGGCTTGTCACAGTGTTCTGCACCCCATGGCTAGAGAGGTTCGTGCCCCCAGGGTGCTCGAGGAGTAGCTTACTCTCCCAGACCGCTGTGGGTTAGCCCAGAGCTTCTCTGTGGTTTGGGGACTTGAGTGGCTTTTCCATCCCATCACCATTTCCCCGTGGCTTCTGGAGTAGAGACCTTCAGAGCCACCAGAACAGGCTTCCCCCCAAGTTCAGTATGATACCAGTTCTTGGAGAATTCTGACCAAGGCGGGGTGGGGGTGGGGGGGATAAGTTACCCTTGAGTCTGCTTGTCCGTCATTGCTTTGTCTCGAGAGCTTTGAGGACCATGACCAGTGGGTGGGCTGGCCCACACTCAGGAATGTGCTCTGGTTCCTGGTGAGCAATGACATGGCCATGCAGGGGACAGTCGGGATAGGGAAGATTCCCACAGACACGAGTCTCTCCCTCTAGGCAGATGTGGGAACAGGCTTACAGGAAACGGTGTCGCTGGCCCACGCTGAGCCGGGCCTCTGGATGGGAGGCCCTGAGTAGGTGTAGACATTCTCTCTCTGGCCCTCATTTTTGGGTGGTACCAAGCCGGGGGTATGAAGATGCCAGAGAACCATGCTCAGTGGGAAGATGGCAGATACTGAAACTCTGAAAGTCCAGCCCTGAGCGCTTCTGCCCTGTGAGCCTGTTAAGTCTGCTCAAGAGAGCAGCACCTCGCTGAGGCCTCTCTCCTCCAGCTGCTCCCACTTGAACATCCTGAGGTCACGCAAAGACAGGACCCAAGCCAGACCCGCAGGAGGAGGAGGCTCACCGGCACAGGCCCAGTTCTGAGTACCACTGTACCCAGGGAGGCAGACTAGCAGCCAGTGGGGCTCTGAGCTGCAGAAGAAGTGAGGGTACCCGGGCAGGATAGACTCACCCCCGAGAAGTCTAACGTTGCGTTTCTGGGTCACCATGTCCTAGAGTGGATGATGCAATGACACTGGGTGCCAAGGGTTACACATGTGGCCCATCTGCTCACCCCCTTCCTCCCCTTACCCACCTATGTATGGATGAGGCTGTGCCAGGCTGTGGTAAACGGTCTTGAGTGGCTGCCCTGGTTCACTTTCAGCCCCTCCCTATGCCATGTGGGTGCCTAGATTGAGCTGATGCTTAGGTAGGACCACCTGGGAGTATGGGGCTGGGCAAAGGAGTTCCACCCTGCAGGAGACACCCTGACCCTGAGCGGGTGGGAGCCAGAGAAGGGCTGAGAGTCTCCACGAGTTCTGGGTGCCATTCTGGATGTAGCAAGTGTCATATTTCAATGGCAGTGGGATGAGGATCCCCCAGGGGCCGTGGTGCCGTCAAGAAAGGCCGCAGGATCCACTGGCGGTGAAAGAGTTAACAGCAGCAGCTGGCCCTTCTCATCAAGAAGAAAACTCCCTGTCCTGGCCTGCCTCCAGGGCCAAGCTGTAGGAGCTAAAAACTGGAAGTTCAGACCTGTGGCCAGATCTGCCTCTGTAGCAAGTACTGGAGGAGGGTAGTGGCCTGGCCGCTCTGTCTGTCTGTCTGTCTGATGTTTGTCTCTCCATAAACCCATCAGGTCGGCTGACTGGCTTCCTGTTGATCCTCTGTAAACCTGCCTGCCCACCTAGCTGTAAGCCTATCTGTTATCTTTTCTGGCCAGCTGTGGGGCCTGTGTGAAAATTTATCTCTATCTCGGTACCCATTGATTTTTTTTTTTCCATCTGTCTGGTTGCTTGAGTTTACCCGTATACTTTCTTTCCTGTTTATCTGCCGGTCCGTTCATTTCTCTGTCCACTGCCCTGTGTGCCTACCTGCCTCCCTCTCGAGCCATGGCCTGGAGTCACAGGGCCACAGTCTGCCTGGTCCTGCTGGGTCTGGGTCTGGGTCTGGTCACCGTTGTGTTGACTGTGGCCCTCTCTCCCCACCGCGCCTCTTGTGGCCCCGGGGCCTTTGCACACGCTGCCGTCGCCGCTGACTCCAAGATCTGCTCAGATATTGGACGGTGAGTAAGAGCTGGGTGTGAACTTGGTGGCTCTGAGCAGCTGACTGCTCCTGGAGACTGTGTGACTGTGGTAGGGACCCGTGAGTGCCATGCTGACTGTGTGTTTGGCTTCTGACAGCAACCCCGGGGCCCTTGTGTGGAAGGCCCTTGTAGGTGCGTCCATAGGGGAGGTGGGGACTTGGGACAGCGTTGCAAAGGTATTGTGACACTATTGCTCAAGAAGACCACCTAGACAGTGCTGGTTGGAAAGGTAAACTAAATGAGGCCTGCTACCTTGTCCCTGCCTGTCCTGAGCAAGGCTGGCACTTTTCCGGGAGCCTGAGCAACAGGCTACAGGGTTCCATGTGGAGGTCCTGCCCTTCCTGCCATACACAACGCTTCCCAGGGCCGGGCTACCTCTCCAAGTCTTTCAGAACAAGCACACACGTACACATGCACACACACACATGCTTGTGCACACATGAATGTACACACACAACACTCTCATGGACATATGCACGTACACATGCATGTACACATGCACTTTGCACACGTGTGTACTCACACTCACCACACTCATGCACACATGCATGTACACACACATACACGACCAGTGCCACATCTACCAGGACCTCTCTATGGTAGACTCTGGCCTCCGTGAGTGGAGTCACTGATGACGGTTGGTGGACTAGGAGAGCGTGACAGAAGCCACAGTGGGTGTTTCCTGACCTTTTTCCAGGAAACCCAGCCCATGGAGGCTCCTGCTACCCACCACGCTGCTACAGGAGCAGACTGTGGCAGGAAGCCACCTCTGGTCCCCTAAACATTGAGCCCCCTAAACCTGGGCAAGCCTCTCCTTCCTTCCAGCCATCTGGGCCTCCTTCCCATCATATTAGCCTGGTAGCCCACTGTGGGGGTCCAAGTGCTTTCTACACCCAGGACTGGGGCCTGCAGCAGGGAGAATGGTGGGCTCAGTCCAAAACACCAGCCTCGCATGCTTTCTTTTGCTGTTCTTGAATCCGCCCACCCTTCCTTCCTTCCTTCCTCCCTTAATCCACCTGTCTAGCCCTTCTTTCCCGCCTCCCTTGCTCATAGTAGCCCCCAAGCCTGCTGACCTGGTCCTCTGAGCTCCCAGACTTTCTGTCTCCTCCTTCACGTCTCCAGTAGCTGGGACTAGCCGTTCGGATAAGTAGAGGCGGTCCTTTCTGCTCCACATGCTGTTCCCAAGGGAGGCAGGAGTTAAGATCAACTGTTTCTTTGTGCCGTGAGATGCACTGTCTACTTAATCCTCCCAGAATGCAAAGATGTAAATGAGGTTAAAGTGTGTGCGCATGCACATACTCAGGCCCCATAGAGAACCTGCTAGACGGACAGTCCCCATGAACAAGGGGGTGCTTCTACGCCTCTCTGAGGAACGTCTCTGAGCAGTGCTTGGTCCGCAAGGGCCGGATTGCTGTTGGTGCTTGGAGCGTGGGGCCTGTACTCTCTTGCACCCAAAACTCTCCCTCAAGCTCTCTCTGATGAAAAGCGGATGTGGGTTCCCCTCCTGTGTTTTGTCAAACAACTCTCTCTGCTTCCTGTTCTTGTTTTAAGAGCCTAGGAGTGGGGAGGGAGCCTCCGGCCCCAACTACTTACTGTGAACAAAAGTTCAGGGACCATAGCCAGGCGAGGCCTCAGGAAGACGCCCCAGCTGCTGTGACCCCTGGCCAAGAGCTTTTCATTTGATTTAGGAGGTCTGTCCAGGGGAAGAACCTGGGCAGTGTCATGGCGGGCCATCTCAGTGGGCCTGGGGTTTTCCCCTGACTCTTGTTGTTGCTGCTCCCGCCAGGGTGGGAAGGCTGTGGAAGGGGCTGTCTTCCTCAAGTCCCCTGCCCATCCTCTTTGACCTCAATCTGTCCAGCTCTGGACACATATTGACCTCAGCTTTATTTACCAAAATTGCAGAAGGTAGGGCTCCCTTGGGTTTCTGGGGAGCAAGTTTCTGGAGGGTTCCCATCTGGAGTGTGGCCTGTTGTTTCATGCCCACCTGGCATCTGAGGGTAGCATCCACGGCTCAGAGGAGAGCAGTAACACAGACCAAGCTATAGCATCATGTCAGCCTCAGTTTCCCTTCTGTGACATTTATGCTGGTACCTCCCTCATAGGATGGCTGTGAGCATGCAGGTGAGTTCACCCCCCCCCCACACACACACAATAGACATGTTTCTTCAGTAGCTCTGTATAGTGTCATCTGCCTGGGTTGATCCAGACATAGCCAACATCCCAGGACCTAAGGGAAGATTAGCGCCTGGCTCCTATCCGGATCCCCTCCCTTCCAGGGCCTTGGCTTCAGTTTCTACTCTTATGTCCTCCCGGCCTGAAACTTGTTCCATGATCTTCTTGGTCTCTGTATTCCTGGCCTCCTCACCGGGAAGTGACAGCGTTTATCCGACCTCTGGGGCTCATGATGACGCGTGCACGCAAATGCCTGTGTGAGCACACACACGTCTGAGTGAGCATGTCACGGAAGTAGTGGTGACAACAGCCTGCTGGTTCCTTGGGGACAGATGATATGCATCATTAGCCTGCTGACAAAAGCGATCACATTTCTCAGCCGAGGAGAGCCAGGCTCTGGAGACCGAGCTACCTGCCTCTTGCAGCTGGCTAGCAGGAATGTAATCCTACTGGAATAGGACTACTCTGGTCCCAGGCTCTCAGCTCATGCCTGTGGTTGGGGGTTAGAGATACATGTGAGCAGGTCATGAGCCCTTCTCTTACCTGGGACATCTAATGTTTTTGTCATATGTCAGATATGTGAGGCTCAGCGGCACGGCTTTACCTAACACGCATGAGGCTCTGGGTTCCATTTCCAGAATGGAAAAATAACACGTGGTAAACACCTCTAGTCTGTCATGGCCTGGGGACACAATGGTAACCAAGAGGGACAGGGTCCCGCTGTTGGGGAAGGAGATGCAAACAGATCTATGACTATGTTAGATGGTTGGGTATGATAACTGTTTATCTGAAGTTTTTGTTCTGTGAAAAAAAATCTCTGTCTCTCTGTCTCTGTCCTCCCCACCCCTCTCTCTTTTTCTCCTCTCCCCTTTCTGCGTTGATCAGGACAATCCCCTTGGCTTAGTCAGCCCCAGGATTACAGTTGTGAGCCTCACGCCTGACAGCATGGGGCGCTTCCGCTACTCTCTTTCTGCCATTCAAAAAAAAATGTTTGTTTGTTTGTTTGTTTATACAATATTCTGTCTGTGTGTATGTCTGCAGGCCCAAAGAGGGCACCAGACCTCATTACAGATGGTTGTGAGCCACCACGTGGTTGCTGGGAATTGAACTCAGGACTTTGGAAGAGCAGGCAATGCTCTTAACCACTGAGCCATCTCTCCAGCCGCCTCTTTCTGCCATTTTTTAAAGATTAGCTTGTACATTAGATCTTCTTCTCCTTCTTTTTGAGATTTATTTATTATGTACACAGTGCTATGTCTGTGTGTATGCCTTCAGGCCAGAAGAGGGCGCCAGATCTCATTACAGATGGTGTGAGCCACCATGTGGTTGCTGGGAATTGAATTTGGGGCCTCTGGAAGAGCAGCCAGTGCTCTTAACTCTGAGCCATCTCTCTAGCCTTAAATGTATTTTTTTTTATCTTATTTCTCTCCCTTTAAAACACAGTGAGTATTTGTATTCCTAGCATAAACTCCTTTTTTAATGCTCATATTATCACAATATGACCAGTCGGTGTCCCTTTAAGACAGAAACTATATATTTTCTACTTTGTAGATTTATTTATTTTGTTTTTATGTATATTAGTATCTTGCTGCATGTATGTCTGTGTATCACGTGTGAGCCTGGTGCCTTCAGAGGATGGAGACACTGAATCCCCTGAGACTGAAACCACAGGTGGCCATGAGCCACCATACGGGTACTGGAAGTCAAACCTGGGCCCCCGTGCAAAAACAGCTAATGCTCTCAACTACAGAACAACCTCTCCAGTCCATAGCTAAGTTCTTTCACACGTGTGTTAGTCAGGTTTCCATTGTTGTAACAAACACCTCAGATAGTCACTTGTAAAATGAAATGCATTTGGCCTGCTGTTGGGAGGTTTGCCCATTGCCTACTGTCCATATTGCTTTGGAGCAACACATGGCAAAACTGTTCATCTCGTGGCTAAGATGACAAATGAAGAGCCGGGGTGGGGGCATCAAGGTATGTTCTCAGTCCCTAGAAGATCTCCCACGAGGCTACATATCTTGTGGTTGCTTGAATAAGAATAGCCCCCTTAGGTTCATGTATTTGAATGCTTAGACACCAGTTAGTAGAACTGTTTGGGAAGGATTAGAGGGTGTGGCCTTGTTAGAGGAGGTGAATCATTAGGGGTGGGACTTTGGGGTTTCAAAAGCCCATGCCAGGCTGGCTCGCTCTCTCTCTCTCTCTCTCTCTCTCTCTCTCTGGATCAAGATGTAAAGCTCCCACCTACTGTCTGTCCCTGCATTATGTCCACCTACTTCCTGCCATGGTGATCATGAACTAATTCTCTAAAATTGTAAGCAACCCCCAATTACCTGCTTCTTTTTTTTTAAATAAGAGTTGCCTTGGTCATAGTGTCTCCTCTCATCGATAGAATAGTAATTAAGACACATCAAAAATATTCCATGATCACCCAAGACTGCCAAGTTGGGAACTAGGCATTTCGTACATGGGGGAATCTCCCCATCCTACACTCATCAGTCTTGGAGACCATTCCTGTCTACTAACTCAGGCCGTCTCAAGATCAATTTGCATATTCCATTGACCAGACCTGAAGTCAAGAGCTAATCAAGGGTGGTATGCATGTAGGGATTATGCATATGTATTTCAGTTATTTTATAACCTGGTTGGCCTAGAATTCACTAAACAGACCAGACAGCTTTGAATTTGCATTTTTCTCTGGCCTCTGCCTCTTGAGCACTGGAATTACAGCCATGAGTCTCTGTGCCTGGTTTGCGGATGGTGCTCTGGAAGTAAGAGCTGAAAGCTGCTGCTTCCATTCAGAGACTAGAGAAAGTTATGTCTGGGAACCATGCGCTTCCTGGTAGCTCCAGTTCAAATCCACAATAGGGTTCTTCCCTAGTTGTCTCCAACATACACACACATACACGCACATGAACACACAATGCACACATACACGCACACAGACACATGCACACACACGTGCACACACACATGCACACATACATGCACACAAACACATGCACGCACACATGCATTGCCATGGATATAGAAATATACAACAAGCTCATTATTTGCTTGTCTAAATTTCAGAATTGCTTCAACAACAATATTAATGCTAATAATTAATTTGATGTTCAATGTTCTAGCAGACTAGATGTATTAGTTATTTTTCTTTGCTGTAATGAAACACCACGGTCAATGCAACTTCAAGGAGGAAGAGTTTATCTGGGGGCTCACAGCTTCAGAGGGGTAGAAGTCCATCACACTCCTGATGCGGAGCATAGCAGCTGGCAGGCAAGTGTGGTGCTGGAACAGCGTTTGAGAGCTCACATCCTGATCCACAAACTAAATCAGGCTGAAGTTTTTTGAAATCTCAGAGCCTGACCCCCAGTGACATAACCACTCCAATAAGGCCATGCCTCCTAATCCTTCCTAAATAGTTTCACCATCTGGGGACAAAGTATTCAAACATATGAACCTATGGCGGCCATTCTACCTCCTCCTACACCAGACAAAGTATGTTTGTTGCTGTTGTTTTGGTCCATGACTCATAAATTACATACAACTAAACATGAAAATGTCCTTATGTGGGGCTGGAGAGGTGGTTCAGAGGTTAAGAGCACTGGCTGCTCTTCCAGAGGTCCTGAGTTCAATTCCAAGTAACCACATGGAGGCTTCTATCTATAGCCATGAGATCTGGTGCCCTCTTCTGTCACTCAAGCATACATGTAGGAAGAACACTGTGTACATAATAAATAAATAAATCTTTCAAAAAAGAAAATGTCCTTATGTAATGGAGCATCATGTGAAAGAAAAAATTTAAATGTACATTTATTTTTCTAATACAGTTATTAGCTTAATATATTATTAGCTTTTAAGGTTTTCTTTCTTCCATCCTTTTCATTTTCACTTTGGAATAAGAAGTGAAAGGTACTTAAAAGGTCACGTTCCCATTCTTCACCATATGCGCCAAGTCACTGCAGAGGTGTGAGTCTGCGTGTGCGTGTGCTCTATGTAGGTGCTCATGTATTTGTGTGTGCATGTTTGCAGATGCACATGGAAGCTGAGGCTGGCATGGGGTATCTTCCTTTGTCATTCTCCACCCTATGTTTTGAGACAGAGTCTCTCAAACATCGAACACACCAACTCAGCTAGGACTTCCAAGGGCTGATTTTTTTTTTTTTTCCTGAGACCAGGTTTCTCTGTGTAGCTCTGACTGTCCTGGAACTCACTCTGTAGACCAGGCTGGACTCAGACTCACAGAGATCCACCTGCCTCTGCCTCCCGAGCGCTGGGATTAAAGGTGTGTGGCATCTTTAATGGCTCCAAGTGGTTCCAAGTACAGCGATTAAAGGAGCGCACCACCATGCCTTATCCCGTTCTTAGTTGTTACTTGTTGGAATGGTTTTTGTTTGTTTATTTTGATGTGTCTGGGCAGGGTAACCCTGGCTGGCCTGGTACTCGCTATGTAACCCAGTTTATCTTGAAATCATAGCGATTCTGCTCCAGCCTCTGAGCACTGGGATGACAGGCAAACATCCCAACACCTCGTTTGGGTTTTAAGGGTTTTAGATTTTATATTGATGTTGCAGGGCCCAACTTCATCAGCTGTGACCCCATATGGGGTGGGAAACTCAGCGTAGGATCCCCCAAATGACAACTGTAAAAGATTTCTGAATGAATGACCAAAAATTATTTCAAAATTAAATAAATCCTACCGAGGTATTCCTGGATCACTGGTGTTGCACACATGCAGCCCTGGTTCTGAACACGCAGCATGCATGCTTTGTATTGTGTGCACCAGCTTGCCATAAAGCACAGGTGAATGCTGCCAGAAACCCCTCGGCAGCCTACACTCTGGCTGTTGTGTGCTGTGAGTTGCCGTGTTTTACTATGTCTGCTATGTCTTCTGCTCTTATAGAAACATAATGCTTTTAAAGGTGTTTACTGTTTTTCTTTATCAGCATTCCTCAGTATATAGGAGCCAAGTTAGAGTGTATTATATTGTGTGAAAATGCTTGATTTTAAAAGTTATTATTCCAATTGCTGACTTGAGTTTCAAAAAAAATTATTAAATACATTTTGTCTTGTGATTATGAGAGAATTTTCAAAAATTTCTGAGCATTCCCTAGATATACTTTGACCATCTTATTCTACATATTTATGCAAATGTCTTTCTTAGTACTGATGATGATAAAGCCAAAGTGTCAATCAACTGAAAAATGCTGAAGATGTTCTCTCTCTAGAAACATTAATTAATTATTAATTTGAGGTTTATCTCATTATGCAAAAATAAATAAGCATATCCATGTCATTAATATGCAGGTTTGTTTTTTATTTTTAATAAGTGGAAAACACAGGTGTCGTAATGCATGCCTGTCATTCCAGCATGCTGGAGGTAGAGGCAGGGGGATCAGAAGCCATCTTTGTTGCATATGCAGTCTGATGTCAGCCTAAACTGTATGAGACTCTGTCTCAAAAGGTTAAAGAAAAAAAAGCAATTGAATGGATACTAAAAAATTGTTTTAAAATATCTTCAGTACTTACATCAGTAAATATTTTATTTATATACCCAGAGTCATACAAAAAAGTCTCACTCAAGAAAGGTGACCCCGTTTTTAAAGAATAATTTTAAGAAGCCTTAGTATAGTTCAACACAAATGAAAAGAAATCCAGGCCTGGTGGCATAGGCCTATATTCCCACCTGAGGGAGACTGAGGCAAGGGGGTTACAAGCTCAAGTCTCGCCTAGGTTACCTAAAATACACACATGCGCGCGCGTGTGTGCACACACACACACATAAATACATTGTCAATAGCAAAAGCTTTGTCTGTGTCTGTGGCTAGAAGCAGTTTTAAATTGATACATTTTAGTGGCTCTTCAATGCATGGCTTGGTTTGTTTTTTATCCACAGCTTTGTTTTTTTATTTTGCTTTTGTTGTTATTGTTTATTGTTGTTGCTTTTTAGACAGACTCTCATTGTGTGTTCCTGACTGTCCTGAACTTACTATAGAGACCAGATTAACCTAGAACTCAAAGCTCCGTCTACCTCCCCCTCCCAAGTGCGGGTATTAAAGGTGTGCACCACACACCACACCTGGCCTCAGTTCTGTCTCTGAAGTGTTAGTGCCTCTCTGTTTTCTCTCCTTTCTTCGCAGAACTCCAGGGTCCCAGGATTTCTACCTTCCTTTATCTTTTATATCTCTTAATTTACTTCTTGCATGTTCTCTTTTTCTCTACCCTGTTTGGTGTGTGTGTGTGTGTGGTGTGTGTGTGTGTGTGTGTGTACATGTGTGCGATACATGTGTGAAAGTATGCTGTGAAGAGACACCATGACCAAGGCAACTCTTACAAAAGAAAACATTTAATTGGGGGTTTGCTTACAGTTTCAGAGGGTTAGTCCATTGTCATCATGGCAGGGAAGATGGAGGCAGGAGTGCTAGGCATGGACAGAGAGGAAGAGCCTGGACCTCAAAGCCTACCCCCAGTGACACTTCCTCCAACAAGGCCACATCTCCTAATCCTTCTAATCCTTTCAGACAATTCTACTTCCTGGTGACTAACCATTCAAACGTATGAGCCTATGGGAGCCATTCTTATTCAAACCACCACAGTAAATATGATGTGTGTTTGTGTATGCTTAAATGTGTGTGTAAGTGTGTGAGTGTATATATGTGTATACATTCATGTGTGTGTATGTTGGCACGTGTACCATAGTGAACCTGTGGAGGTCAGAGAATAGTTGGAATGCTCCAGGGGATCATGGCAGCAGAATCATTTGAAAACAGAGAACAGCCTTATATATGGTACAGGGAAGCGTAAATGGGTATGAGGATGGACCAAGGAGTAGCTGGATTTGAGGGGGCAGTGTGTTTTCTCATCTAACTTGGGGTTTGGGGCCAGAAGATACACCATCAACCTGTCACTGTTTCCGAGTAATCACCAGTCATATGAGCCCAGGAAGAGATGGGGTAGGGAGGCCAGATCACTGATTCTGTGTCTTGTTGCCTAGAGCCATCCTCCAGCAACAGGGCTCACCCACGGATGCCGCCATCGCTGCCTTGATCTGCACTGGTGTTGTTAACCCTCAGAGCATGGGTCTGGGCGGAGGGGTCATCTTCACTATCTACAATGTGACAACAGGTGGGCCCTTGTGTGATTCCCCCTGGGGAGACAGACTCATCCTTAATTCCGGGGCACTCATTCCTTGGGCTTTCTTGCATGCTTCTTCCTTGGTACTCTTGGTACTCTTTGCCCTGGCTTTGCCTCTGTTGTGTGGAGCCCTGGTGGTAGGTGGCATTTTAAGGGTTAACACAGAGATGGAAACCAAGACCTAGAACAGGTTGGAGCCATCTCTCACCCGCCTCAACTCCAGGGAAGGTGGAAGTCATCAATGCTCGGGAGACAGTGCCAGCCAGGCATGTCCAGGGTCTGCTTGACCAGTGCAAAAAGGCCCAGCCACTGGGCACAGGTAAGGCCTTTGGAAGGGTTCTTTTTTTAAAAAAAAAATTATTTATTATATCTTCGTGTATGCCTGAAGGCCAGAAGAGGGCACCAGACCTCATTACAGATGGTTGGGAGCCACCATGTGGTTGCTGGGAATTGAACTCAGGACCTTTGGAAGAGCAGGCAATGCTCTTAGCCGCTGAGCCATCTCTCCAGTTCCTGGAAGGGTTCTGACACCAGTATGGGCCTGTCCGGAACACTCCCCTGCCAAGGGTCTGTATGACTCAGGCCGTGATATTCTGACATTGGGGATGGCCTCTGGACATGAGCAGACTGTGGACCCCCTCATCTCCTGTGGTGGGTTAGAGGTCTTCTTTTGGGGGAGACTCTGAAGAAAGGGGTATTCTGAGGGAAGACCTATTTTGGGACGCTCAATGGGTCTGGGCTGGTGGGACAGGGATCCTGGGTCCAGTTAACTTGAAGGCAGAGTAGACTCAGCGGGTAGCCTGGTGCTTGGTGGTGGTATTCTTACGTGGACTTTATATAGAAGGCAGTGGGGAGCCACAAGCGGTCTATGCCGAGAACGGTGTGGTCAGGCATGGGCTTCAGAAGCTGGGCGAGCAAGTCGGGGTAAAAGGGTTGTGCCAGGCTGAGGTAGGATGCGTATTGCGCAGGGGCCCAGTGGATTGGGGTTCCTGGGGAGCTCCGTGGCTATGCTGAGGCCCACCGCAGACACGGCCGCCTGCCTTGGGCCCAACTTTTCCAGCCCACCATCGCTCTGCTCCGAGAGGGTTTCCGTGTGCCCTCTGTCCTCAGCCAGTACCTCAGCCACAACTTCCTGCGGCCCTTCTTGTATTCGTCATCCCTGAGGTGAGTGGGCACTGTAACGCAGCTCTCAAATCCACATCCTGCCTGAGCACAGCCACCAGACAGCTGTGTCTTGTCATTCCTCAGCCAGAGGGTCGAACCTAAGGTGCCAAGGCCCTAATAGCCAGGGTACCCAAGGCTTTCCTCAGATCAGAACCGAACTCAGGCTAAGGGTGGCTTATCCCTTCTGCTCTGCCTTCCTTCTGCTTCTCTTTGGGAGTGACAGACAGTCCTCAGCTCACCCCTCCTGCCACCTCAGTGATAGGTCTTCCCAGTAGGTGACAAAGTGACTCTGGGTGACACAGATAGACCAGAAAGGTTGCAGGGCCAGGAGTGAGGGTGGTGATCCAGCCCCAGCTATTTTCAGAGAACCAGTCCCTAGTGGTTCTGTGCTGGGGCCACCGCTGTTCCCCAGAAGAATCCTGAAGATTTCTCTAGAGCCCAGAGGAATGTGAGTGTCCTCTGGGATCTGGCATCATCAGTCTGAGGTTGCCTCCTCCCCCTCCCTCCCCATCCCAGACAGCTCTTCTTCAATGGGACTGAAACCCTGAGATCTCAGGACCCATTTCCGTGGCCTGCCCTGGCCAACACCCTGGAGACAGTGGCCATGGAGGGTGCAGAGGCCTTATACACAGGGAGGCTGGGCCGCGTGCTGGTGGAGGACATTGCCAAGGAAGGTTAGCCATGCGCCACGCTGACGCCGCATCACCCAGCCCAGCTAGGGAAAGAACCACGTTCTGGGAATTGGGGAGGAAGTCCCACCTTTCCCCAGACTCCTCAGGACTACTGGGTGCTGCTGGGGTTCGGGAGAGGCCAGGTGCCCATCTAGTCCAGCCTAACCATGGCTAGCCTTTGGGGTCTCTGCAGTCAAGAACCTCAAGCGGCAGGGCTTTCGGCATGTCTGCCTGTAGAGGAGCGGTAGAGGCTTAGGTGGCAGAGTTGGCCATCTTTCTCTTCCTATTTCCCACTTGCCTTCCTCCGGTCTCTACCCTTCTGCCCTATACCACTGGGTGCACTGGTCCCCTTTGGGACTGCACCATTTGCTGGCGAGAGGAGTTCTTTTGGGTGTCCCTGAGACGCTTGCAGGCAAGAGCAATTCCTTTGGGTGTCCCCCAGAAGCATCGCAACTTTCTTGCCCTTTGGCGATCTCCATCTGCACCTGGAGCTCCCCGTCTCTCTCCAGGAAGCCTACTGACAGTTCAGGATTTGGCTGCCTTCCAGCCTGAAGTGGTGGCCCCCCTGGAGATGGCCCTGGGAAACTACACCCTGTACTCACCACCACCGCCTGCAGGGGGTGCTATTCTTAACTTCATTCTCAATGTGCTGCAAGGTAAGCCCTTCATCAGGTCTCCTCTCTGTCTTGGGCTCTGCCCTGCAGGGAGCCTGACCTCCTGGTTCACCCCTGACTTTGGTGAACACATTAGCTTTCTGTCACTGTAACACCAGGCTGGATGCGGTTACTTATTAAGAAAAGTTTAGCACTGGGAGTTGAGCTCAATAGGAGAGTGCTTGCCAAGCTTGGCCCCCGTCAGATGAGCCCTCTTGTAAGAACTACCAGAGTCACATGTGGGGCCACTTCCCAACAGCAAACTCCCTGTGACCTAAAGTCTTATCAGGTCTTCCTTCTTAATGGTTCAGTCACCTCCCAATGCAGACACTATGGGGATCAAGGCTCCAATCCCAGTGGACCCTCAGGGACACTCACGACATACTCCCATCATAGCGTATGGTCCTTGCCTTTTTCGACATACACTAGATTCACAGAAGCATGCTATCCACGTCTGAGGACAGTGGTCAGGACGGTGAGTTTTACAGTTGGTCTCTGTCTCAGGAACTGGCCCAGACTGAGAGGAAGGAAATGGCATCCTTTCCCTTAGTGCGTGTGTGACTCAGTCTCAGGGCACAGGAGCAGAAGGCCCTGCGGGTAGCGAGCTGCATGTCAGGTGTGTATGCTCTGGGCTGACATGCAGCTCAGGAATCATAGCCTGCAGGACCTGCTGAGGTCTCACAGTTCCAGAAGCCAGAAATCACACAGCAGGTTATACACAAGCCGGGCTCAGTCTGGAGTCTCCTGGAGAGAATCTGTCGGCTCTCCTCACCTTTACTGCATCACCCTAGACTGCACCCAACAGTTCAGATGGGTACAAAGCCTTCAACATGCCCATGTTTTCCTATGGCTACACTTGGGATTAAAAGTTTAATTATAAATTAGGGACAGTAAGACACAGCCTTTCACCTACAGGAAGCCCTACGTGACTTCTCTTTGGTCTATACGTCATTGCCGCCGCTTGTTAGCTTTCTGTTACTATGCCAAATGTCTGGGATTAAAAACCCACTTATCAAGAGAAATGGTTTCTTTTTTCTCACGGGTTTGTAATTTCTGCCTGTGTTTGGTTGGCTCCATCGCTTCTGGGCCTGCAGCGGGGCAGCACGACATGGCAGGGATGGGTGGTAGAGCAAGAACTTCATCTCAAGGCTGCTGGGAAATGAAAGACAGGGAAGGAGAGAACACAAGCCCCATCTGAGCACATGACCTAACTAACCATCCTCCCAGGCCCCACCTTTTAAAGTGTCCACCACTCCCCAGCAGTGTCAAGCTCAGAACCAAGCCTAGACGTTGTGCACTGGGGCCATTATTCAGTAACAGAGGTCATCTTGGCATAAGTCCTTCAATATGGTGACAGCTGGTTTCACCGTAATGAGGGTTACTAAGGTCTGAGAGCTCCGTGGTAGAGCTCATGTCTACTAGCGTGTCCTATCTCGGTGCTGGGGCAGGTATTAATAGTGATTAATGGCCAGGCAGCAGATGCAGTATGGCTACATTAGACAATGGAATGAGTCACGTCCTTGGTGTGATGGAGCAGGATGGCTCAAGATTTAATCATGCTACACAGAATGGCACTTAAAATGGACGACTTGTTTATTCTGGAACTTTCCATGTAATATTTGCAAGCTATGATTGACTGCAGGTAGCTGAGATTGTGGAAAGTCAGATTACACACAAGAGGGGGACATCTCTTCTCTATGTGTCTGACTTATAAAGATGAGTGTGGGGGCTGGAGAGATGGCTCAGTGGTTAAGAGCACTGACTGCTCTTCCAGAGGTCCTGAGTTCAATTCCCAGCAACCACATGGTGGCTCACAGCCACCTAAAATGGGATCTGATGTCCTCTTCTGGCATGCAGGTATACATGCAGACAGAGTACTCATACCTAAAAAGTACATTTAAAAATGTGTGCTGGGCAGTGGTGGTTCATACCTTTAATCCCAGCACTTGGAAGGCAGAGGCAGGCAGAGCTCTGTGAGTTCGAGGCCAGCCTGGTCTACAGAGTGAGTTCCAGAACAGGTTCCAAAGCTACATAGAGAAACCCTGTCTCAAAAAACAAAAACAAAAAAGATGTACGTGGCCTGGTACAGTGGCCCATGCCTTTAGTTCATGTACTCAGGAGGCAGAGCTAGTTAGAACCCTGAATTTAAGGCTAGCCTGCTCAACAGAGAGTTTTAGGACAGCCAGGGCTACACAGAGAAACCCTATCTCGGGGGGGGGGGGGGAGACACACTTGATCCTCAAATTTAGGGCTAACCTACTAATCTATACAATCCAGGATAAATATTGCCTCTCAAAATCCTTAACATATTTTGTCATATAATGTGATAGTAATTCTTGTGCTATATAAATCAATATTCATGGATCCTGAGAGGTAAAGAAATGAGTAAATCTTTTTTTGGGGGGCAACATTCATCCCACTACACAAGGTAACCCCCTTGTACCCTGCTACCTCCCCAGGGTTCAACTTCTCGGCAGAGACGGTGGCCCAGCCTGAAGGAAAAGCGAACATGTACCATCACCTTGTAGAGACACTCAAGTTCGCAATAGGGCAGAGGTGGCGGCTCTGGGACTCTTATAGTCGCCCGGGGATACAGGTAAGACTCCCTGGGACCAATGGTGTCTTCTTCCAACCCTTTCCTGGAATACAGCATGGAGGGAGGGGCAGCATTGGCATGTGGAAGGTGGAGGAATTTCTTTGTCGTTCTGGGCAGGGATATATCCTGGCAGCAGTCTCCAGGGCTGCAAGGGACTGCTGAGGTGGTAGCTATAGTGGGTAGGATCTGGCCTTAGCATGGGCTCAAGTACCTTCTTCAACAGACTGGAGAAAGGTCCTCCCAGGGGGAACGAGTTCTCCCTACGCTCTGCTTTGAGGACCCTGCCTGGCTCCTCACTAATTTGCTATTTGACTGTTCACTCCAGAACACCTCCCAGAACCTTCTCGGGGAGGCTCTAGCCCAGCACATTCGCCAGAAGATCGACGGCCGCGGTGACCACCAGCTCAGCCACTACAACCTGATCGGGGTCAGGGGCAACAGCATGGGCACCTCTCATGTGTCGGTGTTGGGAGAGGACGGCAGCGCTGTGGCAGCTACCAGCACCATCAACACACCGTGTGTGGGACCTGGGGAGGGGCGGGGTCAGACAGGGCTCAGGGGCAGGTGGGTAGATCCCTCCGCCTTTGCTCTTGACTCCAAAGTCTCCGTTGACCCAGTTTGGTCTACACCCTCTGACCTCTCCTTGTTAGTCCCTAAGCAGGCAACACCTCCCTTTTGTTTTTCCTATTGTCAAAAAGATCTGGCACAGGGACATCCTTACTGAGAAAAGCTATTATTTGGTGGCTCTGAGCCCGGTCCTGCCTGGGTTTGGCCTCACTCAAAAAGGAGTTCCTTGATGGGAGCCAAAGGGGATCTTTGAGGTCCCTGAGTGGTTCTGGGCTCTGTTGTGCTGGAAGCACTTTTGTAAGGGATCCTCAGAGGTTGCAGCCCTGTGTTGCTGGGAGCCAAGGCCCCAAGTTCAGACCCCACCTTACCCATCCGCAGCTTTGGAGCCATGGTATACTCACCTCGGACAGGCATCCTCCTTAACAACGAGCTCCTGGACTTATGCTGGAGGCATGAACCAGGTTCCACTGCCACTCCTCCGCCTGGTAAGAGAGAAAGAAGGGTGGGTGGGCCACTAACCCCTGGGCGAGTTACCCCCATCACTGAGTACTGTTAACTTAGCAACATATGAAGGTGGGGTGGGTGGTACCCCTAGAGGGTGTGGGTGATGCTTGTTGGCCCCAGTTCCAGGTGAGCGCCCACCGTCTTACATGGTACCCTCCATCTTGGTCAACAAGGCACAAGGATCCAAGCTGGTGATTGGTGGGGCTGGTGGGGAACTCATCGTGTCTGCTGTGGTCCAGGTAAGTGTTAGAGTTCCTGGCTAGAATGTTGCCTCTCTGGTGAACTCCCTGGGGTGGGGATGGGAGTGTGGCAGTGGGATAGCCCGTGTCCCCTCCCTGTGTCCTCTTACTTCTTCCAGACCATCATGAATAAGCTGTGGCTTGGCTTTGACCTGACAAAGGCCATTGCAGCCCCCATCCTACACGTCAATAGCAAGGGCCATGTGGAGTATGAACCCAAGTTCAATGAGGTGAGCCTGAGGTCCCACGGTCCTCCTGAAACTCATGTTGTTCTCCCCTGTAAAGAATTGGGTAACTTCCTGTGCCAGAGAGACACACTCCACCTCCAGGGGCCATGAAGAGTTGAGAAGTTTAACGGGAAGACAATAGGTCTGTCCCATGGCATCCAAGTCAGAGAGTAGGCTGTTGCCTGAGCACCTCCTGGGCTGAGGACTTCAAAATCTTGTTCTGTGTATGCCGTTTCCAGGAAACTAGCTTTTCTGACTGTGGTCAGTTAGCCGCTCCTTCCTGGTGCCTTCTTCCCTCATGTGGTGAAACTCAGAGTCAAGAGTTTATTCCCAAAAAAGAGCTCAGTTTTCCCACGTGATTTTGTTCTGGATCATGGGAGGTCTTGCTGCCCTTACGTCCAAACATCTGATTTCCCCACTAAGACCCTGGAGCATGACCAGTGGCTGAAATCTCTTTACTCTCTGGCTACCACCTTCCTCCCCAGAAACTTAGTTTTCTGAAGCTCATTGGATGCACTGTGTGGAGCACATATAAAGATTAGCAGCTTTGGGGCTGGAGAGTGGGCTCAGTGGTTAGGAGCACTTGCTTGGTGCTTCTCAGCATCCATGTGGCAGCTCACGACTACTCTGTGAACACTGTAAGAGATCCAACACCCTCCTCTGACCTCCACAGGCTCCTGCATGTGTGTGTGTGTGTGTGTGTGTGTGTGTGGTGTGCACGCACGGAGGGGGAGAGTAGATAAATGTTTTAAAAATAGATAAATAAAAAAAATACATCTTTAAAACTACCAGTAGCTTTCTGAGGCCACAAACTGTGTTCAGGATCATTTCAACTATCTGTGGTTCAGGGTTCTCGAAGTTCTATGCCTTGGTCCCAAGGCCATCTTCCAGGGCCCCTTACAATTCTAAAAACCATTAGACTAGGGGGCCGTTAGTGAAAAGGGGCATCAACAGGTGCTCCTTGACTCATGGATTTTTCAGTTTTCTAGTGGTATAAAGGCCGTCTATGCAGGGTTGGGGTTGTAACTCAGTGATAAGGTATGCACAAGCTCCCAGCACTACAAAAGATGAAAGAAAGAGAAAGAAAAGTTACATGCATTCAATAGAAACCATTTAATGTCCATTATACATTAATGGTGATTACTCATATAACCATTCTATGTTATATAACTTTAGGACAAAACTCAAAAAACTACATGTAAGATGTTCAACACCTTACAATAAAATAATCTTTGTCTCAGATGATATCGTAGGCTAAAGTAAGTGTTCTGCACATTTAAGACAGGCTCTGATGTTTGATAGATTAGACGTACTTAATTTTTTTTAAAAAAATTTATGTGCATGAGTGTTTTGCCTGCTTGTCTGTATGTGCACCATGTCCACGGCTGGTGTTCATGGATGTCTGGAAGGGCACTGCAGTCCCGGAACTGGAATTGTAGCATGGGCCCCGTACAGGGGCTGAGAACCAAACCTGGGTCCTCTGCAAAAGCAACAAGTGCTCCTTAAGTGCTGAGTCATCTGTCTGGTCAGGTTAGATATGTTAAATATATACATGCATTTTTGACTTGTAATATTTTCAAATTATGGTGGATTTATTGGGTCACATCACCCCATTATAAGTTGAGCAACATCTGTAGTGTTGAGAACTTGTTCAGATCCTGAGGTTCAGGGCATAGCCCCTTGGACTCAGATTCTTGGCATTTTAGCATCTGCGCAGGGTTCTCCCAGGGACCTGAGATATTCTCTCAGAGCACCGGGTCCAAGGAACTAATGTCTAGAGGATTCAAGAGCCAAGACACGTTCCTTTAAGCTCGCACTGCTTGAGCCTTGGCCCTCGACTCTTAACAGAAGATCCGTTGTCAGCGAGTATCAATTCCCAAGACTTGGCACTCTGAGATTCTTGGAGCATTCAGAAGATGACACAAGGTCTGGGAGCTAGGAAAATGAAATCCAGGGTCTTGTGAAGCCAAGCTTGTCAGCACCCTCAAGTGTTCAAATGTCAGTTATGCAGATGCAGGGCTTTCCCTGGTGAACCCCATCAATCCTGGCTGAGAGACCTCAAGTCTCCACAGACCCTCATAAGCAAAAGCCACCACCAAGGCGAGGAAGGGCTTGGAGTTTGGCCACTAAATTCTGAGAAACGGAGCCTCCGAGGACTGAAAGTGTAACTCTGGCTTTAGCGCTGAGGTCCTCAGCCTCTAATGTCAAGCAAGGCCATTGGGCAATTCGTAGAGTAAACACGGAAAAATTAAGAACCCTAAGGGCGTGGCTACAGATCTCACCTTGCCAGTGGCTCGAGTCACATAATGTCACCTGGGCGGCAGACGATTATGAGGACTTCAGAGATGCTGTTACACCTGGACATCTGTAGAGTACTGGGTCACTTTGAACAAAATTCTTGGCCCATTAATCCGGAACAGCAAATGGAGACGTGGGGCTGAAGAAATATAGTTTTTAGGATTTTTGCTCCCTTGTAACATGATAAACGGCAGTAGTGGGGGTTCATACCCCAAGGATATAAAGTCCTTAACATCTTAGACATCAGAACTGCAGGGCGAGGCCCTTCTTTAGTTTCTACCTCCAAGTTCACAGATTTAGTATCTTACACCTGAGAATTAGGGCCCCATGTCCTGAGTGTCTCCCACTACTTCCTCCAGGGTTTAGTTTTCTTGGATACAAACAAGTTTGTTTGCTTTAAAGACAGAATTTGGCTCAGGCCAGCCTCAGACTTGATATGTAGCTGAGGCTGGTGTCAAATTGACAACCCCCTGCCCTTGCACCCCTACCTGGCTTGATATAGGAGTGAGTGTGCCTTTATGTTTATCTATACATTCACACACGCACACACACACACAAGGAATGCTTCATGAATTTACAAGTCATCCTGAGTGAGGGCCATGTTAATCTTTCTGTATTGTTCCAGATTTAGAGTCTGTCTGCTGAAGCCAGCACAGTGCAGTGCACGCATACCCTAGACAAACGGGATCAGCAGCCTTGGGTCCTCCTAGACACCCCCTTATAAGCCATAAAGTTATAGGCACCCCCAGGAGCTTGACTGCTGCATATCTGGATCTCTTGGGTCCTGAGTTCTAATCTCTGCGCTGCTATGGTTCTATATGGTTTGGTACTACTCAGGTTGGTGGGCCTGGGTACCTAGTATCTTGTGCTTTGTCCTCCTCAAGGTCCCAGGGTATCTGTGGACTCCAAAATTGTGGCCCTTTAACCCAAGTAGTCTTTTCTTTCTTTCTTTTTTTTTTTTTTTAAAGATTTATTTGTTCAGTATGTATACAGAATTCTGTCTGCATGTATGCCTACAGGCCAGAAGAGGGCACCAGATCTTGTTACAGATGGTTGTGAGCTACCATGTGGTTGCTGGGAATTGAACTCAGGACCTCTGGAACAGCAGGCAGGCTCTTAACCTCTGAGCCATCTCTCCAGCTCCCTAACCCGACTCTTCTAAAATGACCTTCTCCACAGAAGCCCTGAGATCACCTCGGACTTGTCCTCTGGGTCCACAGTGAATTAGACCCATGAACAGAATGAACTTTGTTCTTGCTGGGTTGTTGCTTTGAGCTGCCCCGTCCTTGCCTGGTCCCTGTAGCCTCTCACATCCCTCTGGGATCTCCAAGCTGTAAACTCGATGCTCTAGGACCAGTTCCTGCCCACAGTCTTTCCCTAGCCAGGATCCTCAGGCTCCCTTCCCGCAAGCCCCACCTTTTCAGGTCTGTTTTTCTATTTTTTGGCTGGCCACTCCCTTGCATAATGGGGGGACTTGAGCTGCCCTCTCCCTCTCCATGAACGCTTCTCTCTCTCTTTTTCAGGAGGTGAAGAAGGGGCTGCAAGACCGGGGCCAGAGCCAGAGCCCGCGGCTCTTTTTCCTGAACTCTGTCCAGGCTGTGTCCCAGGAAGGACCCTGTGTCTATGCGGCATCTGACCAGAGGAAGGCTGGAAAGGCTTCGGGATACTAAGACAGCTTTGCCCAGAGGTGGGATCTGACCCTAGATGAGTCCTGGGCTTCAGATGGATGAGGCTGTAGGTCTAAGTGCTCCAGGACCTGGAGCCTTTGCTACGAGATCAACCTGGGCCTGAAGAGGACAGGGACCAGCTCGACAGATGAATGACTGAGAGGGAAGGACTGCCTTATCCGTGGTCCCTTCCCAACACCTCTGGTGACCCTGCTCTGTCTCTTCTAGCCTCCCTCGGCATCATGCCCATATTCCAACTGGTGTGCCTACCAGTCCAGGATTAAAGAGGAGCCACACTATGGGCTGATTCGGTGGTTCTCAGCAGTTAAGGGACCCCCAGACAGTGCCCAGTGACATACAATACACCTCACACTCCTGTGGTCCTTCAAGGCTCCATTCACCATCAAAGCTCGGGAATGGGGCAGTGAATGGAGGGCGTCCACCTCTACCCCACTCAAGCTACAGTGTGTCTGGGGGCTTCACAGTGTGTCTGCCTCCCATTTTGCCTGCCAGTGAGAAGGCAGGAGTGTGGCTTGTAGTAGTTTCCCTCAACTCTCGTGAGGCCCTAATCCCCTCCAGGAAAATGTCGATTGAAGCAATTTTTTTTTTTTGATTTTTCAAGACAGGGTTTCTCCGTAGCTTTTTGGTTCCTGTCCTGGAACTAGCTCTTGTAGACCAGGCTGGCCTCGAACTCACAGAGATCCACCTGCCTCTGCCTCCCGAGTGCTGGGATTAAAGGCGCGCCCCACCACTGCCCGGCTCCTGGCTCAGGTCTTAATATTGCATGTTCCCGAGGCCAGGGCTCATTCTCGGTAGTACTGACATGTGAGATGAGGTGACTCTTTGTTGCTTAGAGCTGTCCCTACATGGCACAGCTGTGGTACATATAGCATCCCTCATATTCCCCCAGACACAGCAGCACAACTCTCTGGACAGGGTTATATCATCCCTGGTTGAGCAGTGCTGCTTCAGATGGATGGGAAACTCTGCAGACTATCCAGTAGGGTGCCCGTTGTAGAGGTCTCCCTAGAGGGACCTAAGCATCTTGCATCACACTCCTGGGAGCATCAGGCATTTCTGGGTCACCCCAAGTGTCTGCAGGAGTTGCTTTAGTAAATCCAGGGTTGCCACAACAACCTGCATGGCTTACGCATGCATTTTAAAGAAATTCATCACTCTGCTTCAACAGTTAAAAAGCTCTTTTTGAAAAAACAAAACTCTTTTTGCTAGGACCTAGGTTTTAATTCCCAGCACCCACATGGTGGTTCATCACCATCTGTAACTCCAGTTCCCAGGGATCTGATGATCATTTCTAACCTCCACAAGCACCAAGGATACATGCAGGCAGAACACTCACACATAAAATTAAGTGAATAAATCTAAGTTTAAAAATTAAAAGCAAAATTGATGACTCATTACTCTGAAAACCAGGCAGTCTGAGATAAAGGTGGCGGCAGGTTCGGTGTTTGGAGAGGGCTCATTTCCTCTCGGATGGTCTGTCATATGGCGGAAGGAGCTAGGTGACTTGCTCGGGTTTCTTCAAAGACGATAGGGTCACTCCTCACGATCGGTAGAAGATTGGTTCTAGGACCTCCCCAAAGAAGACGCAAGTCTGTGGATGCTCACATCCTTTATATAAAACGAAGCGGTGTTTGTATCAGCTGCTTGTAGAGTCAAGAGCTGGAAGCTCATGGAAGGTTCGGTGAGATCCGGCTGGGATCTTTTGGTGTTCCTGATTACAATCAGATTTTCTTCATCTTCACTGTGGCATTGTGGTAAGGTATGGACTCCTGTCCCTTGAGTTGAGACCATAAAATTCTCTGCTCCCTCCTGACCACAGCTTCTCTCTGGGCATGCACTTCTGTGCTTAGCTACAGGTTCATTCCTGATTTTATGACTGCATGCTTCAAGCTTCTTCATCTTGTCCCTCCATGTGCACGTCTATCTCCTGCTACATCTGTGATGATGGAAGTTACAAAATAATCCAACACTCGCTCAGAATTAAGTATAATAAAGGGTTATTTATTTAGGGGTAGACTCACAGATCACAGTCCTCTGGACAAACAGGGAAGAGGAACCAAATCCAGCAGCTGGAAGAGAGAGCAAGCACACTATTTACATCAGCATTTATAGTATAAGAGGCCAAGCCCAAGTCGGCTGGTATCTTAAAGGCTACTGGCTGAAGGGGTTCCTACAGCACCTCCCCCTTTTGTTTACACAAGAGAGTTCTAAGCCTAATACAAAACTATATACAATAAGAATAAATATTAAGTATAAAAATTAGAATTACAACCAGCATAAACAATGGTGCATGTAAGTCTAAGATACCACTGCTTGCTTAATTTCCTTTAGATCATTCATACCTATAGGTATCCACCTACATTCTTTGGCTCCTTTGGGGCATTTAGAACTTGATGGTTTTTTCAGAGGTGTTTACAGGGTAGGAAGCTAAAACCCTGGGTAAGCCATCTCTGACTCTGACACATACTGGTGATGTTAAACCCTGTCCTTTTACCTTCCCTCCTGCCCATCAGCTCTGATATTTTCCTCAGTTGTTTCAAATCTCTTTACCACTGTCTTTTGTAAACCCTGAATCTACTGGCTTGTATATATTTCTAGTGATTTCACTGAGGCATCTAGCCTCTGCTCCTCATTCTGCACATGTGATTCCAAGGTCTAAAGTTTTTCCTTTTAAAATAACACCCCACCCTTGGACATTATTTGGATAGTGTGCAGATTGCCTTCCTGGAGAGATACTCTGTCTGCTAACCTAGCGCAAGTTTTTTTTTAACAGATTTTGATTGTCAAATTCGACAGTATGAATTCGTTCAGATAATTTCTCAGTACCTTTTGACATGGATTGAATTTTGTCCGTCAAATTAATGTTATCCTTTTCAATGGTATTAATTTTTTTCAGCTAACTTTTGTTTTTTGATGGTATTAATTCTGTCAGCTCGCTGTTCATTGTTAGTCTGTAAAGATCGTGTCATTTCTAAAAGCGCCTGATTCTTGGCTCTGTTATCAAACCATTTTCTTAGGGATATAATATGAAAAAGAAAACTAAGTCCCAATATCCAATAAATGGGTGTATCAGGAAAACCATATAAGCCTTACAGAATACCATTCATAGTATAAGCAAAAAGGTTATCAAAATCCTGGATGGATATATATATATATGTATATATATATCCAAGTTTATTGATTTCAAGTTTATTGATTTATTTATTAATCAAATAATTACCTTTGTTATGAGATTTCAGTATATTGCCGTAGGTATAATAATCTTATTGGCCACTAGGTGTCAGTGTTGCAGTCGCACGGCAGTGAGGCGCATTGGTGGCAGCAAAAACAGTCCAGCGCCACTTTGGTTACACACGCTGGTGCCTGGTTAAATACTAACAAATATGCTTTGCTCTTAGCTTCAGAGCAATTAAATAAATTCCATACATGGAGAGAGGGTTTCTCTGTATAACAGCCCTAGCTGTCCTGGAACAAACTCTTGTAGACCAGGCTGGCCTCGAACACACAGAGATCCACCTGCCTCTGCCTCTCGAGTGCCGGGATTAAAGGCGTGCGCCACCACTGCTCCGCTCGAGTGACACAATCTTTACAGTGTACAAGAGGATTTTTCCACAGCAGTGTGAGCTATAAGCGCATGGCCAGGGTGGTACTGGGTGAGCAGGAGTGAGAGGGAGCCTGAGACTGGAGAGCTAGAGGGTGCGTGGGCCCCGCATGCTGTGAGCTTTGTCTGATCCTTCCATGCTTATCACAGTGAAAAGCAAAGGCACAGGATACTTAGGCACGCAGAGGGGATGGTGTAAAACTATAGTGCTGTGGAATTGAATTCAGAAAAACTTTGAAACTGCTTCCCTGTGAGCACCAGGCTGCCGGATAAGTAGAGCATGGGACGGAGGGGGCGTTTCTGTGGTGGGAAATGATGTTGATAATGTGAATGGCAGCATCATTCATCCGGCCGTAAAGCCGCTGATTGCCTGTGCAGTGCCTGTTGGATCCAGGGAAATCGTCCCTTTATGGACGGGTCGTCTTGGCACAGGAGAGGCATGCCAAAGGTGGTAAGCAGTGGGCAGATCAAGCTGCCCGGTGGGCATGCTGAGTTTCTAAGTCTGTTTCTGACTTAGAAAAGGTGGTGGTTTTGCAGCCCTGCTCATGGAAATTTCTATGGCTCTACTTGGTCAATAAGAAAAATTCAAATGGAAAGAACTTGGAAAATGAACTAAGTTATAGGGAGTCAAACAAGGTGATGTTTATCTGGAACATGGTGCCTAGTAGTACCTACTTCTAGGGCAGTGGAGGGAGCAGGGCGCGGAGGAGGGTGGCGGGCTTGCGTCATGCCCCTCAGCTCCACAAATGCTGTTCCATATGAATGCTGGTTCAGCATTCCTTTGAAACTGGGCCCGCCAGACCAGCTCACCCCAACTTGGGGAGAAGCCAGTAGACATCCCCTGCTGCTGATAGTTCTTGGTTCCACTGTAGCCACAACAGTGTGCCCACTGGTACAGGATACCCGAGGATGGTTGCAGGCCTTCACACGAGGGATGTGTAGGAAGCACTGTACTACCCACCCAGTCCCAGGTATATTCCAGGCAATGAAACCTGCTCAAATACAGACGTGCTATGAGATAATGGCAGATCTTCTCTACGGAGAGGGCGTTCGGGCTTCATTCTTCACCTAGCTCAATGCGTATGCGGACCGCGTCTTCTCATTGGGAGAGAGGGAAGGAGTCATGGATTTGGGGCTGTGGCTCAGTAGTGTTCACCTGCCATGTTTGAGGCCTTGAATTTTCTAGAACCACAATAAACAAACACTTAAAAATGGAAGGGGAACATGGAACTGAGAGACTCTAACTGCAAGCCTCTGCAAAAGCACTTAGCAGCCCGTCTCTGACCGCGGGCACTGTTACCATTTCACCTCCACAACAAACGGCATGAGCTGGGCCTTCCGGCCAGAACCAATACAAAGGCAGCTCTGACGGAGCTAACCTAGGCTTCCTCCTCAGAAGAGCAGTCTTGAGCAGCAATTCCTGCCTTAGAAGAGGTGGAGCCACTGCCTGGGAACTACCAATCACAGCATGAAATAGCCTGTCTCCGTCTACTGTAGTGGAGACCCTGCTCTACGCAAGTAGCATGTGTATCACAACTGAGTCTTCTCAAGAGCTTCCTGACTCCTGGGCCACAGGCAGTGTTAGGCCTGGCTACCTCTAAAACAGCTTCCACCAAGATGGCATACATACACATAAATAAAATAAAAAATAATAAGGATGAACATCAAACCCTCAGG